TGTGGTAGCCTGTAGGATGTAGCATGAAAGCCTGTAGTGTGTAGCGTGATGGCCTCTAGGATGTAGCGTGATAGCCTATAGGATGTAGCGTGATAGCCTGTAGGATATAGCGTGATAGCCTGTAGGTAGTAGCGTGACAGCCTGTAGGATGTAGCGTGACAGCCTGTAGGATATAACGTGACAGCCTGTAGGATGTAGCGTGACAGCCTGTAGGATGTACATGTAGCATGATGGCCCTGTAGTGTGTTGCGTGATGGCCTATAGGATGTAGCGTGATAGCCTGTAGGATGTAGCGTGACAGCCTGTAGGATGTAGTGTGGTAGCCTGTAGGATGTAGCATGAAAGCCTGTAGTGTGTAGCGTGATGGCCTCTAGGATGTAGCGTGATAGCCTGTAGGATGTAGTGTGGTGGCCAGTAGGATGTAACGTGATGGCCTGTAACGTGTAAGGTGATATCATGGGGGATGTAACTTGTTAGCCTGTAGGGTGTAGCGCGATAACCTTAGGATGTTGATTGTTAAACCGAAGGATGTAGCTGATGAGCCTGTGAGATTTAGCTTGAGAGCCTCGAAGATGTTGTGTGTTAGCCTGTAGCATGTAAGTGTTTGGCATGTACGATGTAACTTAGAAGAATGTAGCGTGTTAGGCTGTAGGAAGTAAATTGTTAGCCTCGAGCTGTAGGAATGATACTGAGTAGGAATTAGCATTCTATCCCATAGGTAATAGAATGTACGATGAATCATGTTTGCATGAAGGATGTTTTTTGTTATCCCCAATGATGAAGTTGTTCACCCAGTTGAAATTATCTTGTTTGTCAGAAGGCAGTGGCTTGTTAATCTTTGCATTTACATTTAAGACCAAATAGACCTATTTTGTTTCGTGTGAAACAGCTGGTACTAGATATAGTCCACATTTACGTTTGCATGTGATATTAATTACACGATAAACTTACTACAGGACAGTATTGCCTGTAGATTTGACGGCGACAAATTGAATATGAAGCTAAACGCACACGACAAAATCAAACGCGACCTCAGTTATTGTTAGCGAATATCATGAATAATGTGGCCTGGGTTGGGTCCATTGTCGCGGTAGGTACCTTTACTACTACTACTACTACTACTACTACCGCCACTACTACTACTACTGCTACCGCCACCACCATCACTACTACTACAACTGCTGCTTCTACTACTACCAATACAACTGCTACTACTACTACTACTACTACTACTACTACCGCCCCTACTACTACTACCGCCACCACCATCACTACCACTACAACTGCTGCTTCTACTACTACCAATACCACTGCTACTACTACCGCCACTACTACTACCACCACCACCATCACTAGTAATACTACTACAGCTGCTGCTTCTACTACTACCAATACCACTGCTACTACTACTACTACTACTACCGCCACTACTACTACTACTACTACTACAGTACTATCACCACTACTACTACTACTACTGCTACTGCTACCACTACTACTACTACCACTACTAATACTACAGCTGCTGCTTCTTCTACTACCAATACCACTGCTACTGCTACTACCTCTACTACTACTAATACTACTACTACTGTTACTACCACTGCTACTACTACAACTACAACCACTACTACTACTACAACTGCTGCTTCTACCACTACCAATACCATTGCTACTACCTCTACTGCTACTACCGCCACCGCCATCACTACTACTATAACAACTGCAGCTTCTACTGCTACCAATACCACTGCTACTACTACTACTTCTACCGCCACCACTACTACTACTACTACTGCTCCTACTACTACTACTGCTCCTACTACTAATACTACTGTACTACCACTACAACTGCTGCTTCTACTACTACTACTACTACCACCACCACCATCACTACTACTACTACTACCGCCACCATCACTACTACTACTACAACTGCTGTTTCTACTACTACCAATACCACTGCTACTACTACTACTACTACTACTACTACGGCCACTTCTTCTACTACCGCCACTACTACAACTACTACCGCCACCACCATCACTACTACTACTACAACTGCTGCTTCTACTACTACCAATACCACTGCTACTACTACTACTACAACTACCGACACTACTACTACTACTACCGACACCACCATTACTACCACTACAACTGCTGCTTCTACTACTACCAATACCACTGCTACTACTACCGCCACTACTACTACTACCACCACCATCACTACTACTACTACAGCTGCTGCTTCTACTACTACCAATACCCCTGCTACTACTACTACTACCGCCACTACTACTACTACTACTAGTACTACTACAGTACTATCACTACTAGTGCTACTACTACTACGGCTATTTTGCCCGCCATACGACTATTTCTGATACATTTTCTACGACTACTTTCACTATTACCAGCACAGCTACCACTATCACTTCTTCTGTTTCATCGCCTGCTACTGCAGCTATCTCCAATTACTGATGCTTCTGCTAATACTAGAGCTGCCTTATGCTGCTATAGCACTTTATTGCCGTTGGTACTACTACTACCCCTACTACTACTACTACTACTACTACTACTACTACTACTACTGCATGTAGTAGTAGTTGTTGTTGCTTCTATTATTATTATTATTATTAACAGATTAAAATTTAAAAAATGCAGCAAAGAGGGTTTGGGTGATCCTGGCACAGTCAGGCTGTTTAGGCTCTTCATCAGCTCAGGGCCCTTGCTCCCTCTACACGCAGTCCAGACAGCGAATGGGACTTCTCCCAGGAAGCGCTGCCTAGTTCAACCCACCCAAAACTTTTCGGAGAATGTGAAGACAACCCAACACTGCGGCCTTCTGCATTACCCAGATTGTCAGAAGGGCTGTATTCCTGGTAGCAAATCCGGGTACCCTCCCAATGTCAGTAAACAGATTGGGAGGTACCAAACCTAAGGCACCGAGAACAATGGGGAATCGGACAACTTGGTACTTGGGATGCAAGCCTGACATTTCGAAAGCGAGGTCCGCATATTTGCCATGTTTTTCCTCAATCCTGTCAATAACATTAGTGTCAAAGGGGACAGAAAGTTCAATGATATAAATGATTTCATTGGGTTTATCAAAAAGGAGAAGATCAGGTTTGGCCTGGATACGTCTGAGGCTGTAAATGGGCCTATTCCAAAGAATTTTGTAATTATCATTTTCCATGATGCCCTCGACATATTCCGGGTCGTACCATGGGTGGACCTCTGTGTCAAAACCACAAGCATGGCGAAGACGGTAATAAAATTATCGAGCTACACCATCATGTCCTTAAGATACTGTGTTTGTGCCAAAGCTGGACATCCTCTGACAATATGTTGGACAGTCTCATTAAATTCATTACATAATCTACATTTCATATTTACATTTTGATGCAAAATCACACATTGACGGTTTCGTGTGGGAAGTGACGGGTCCTGAGCAGCGAACAGAAGGCCTTCAGTTTCACTTTTCAGGTCAGACGACTTCATCCAAGTGAAGGACTCTGCAGAATTGCTGATCTTCTCAACCAATTGCACAAAAACTCGATGCAGTGGTCGTTCAGAAAGCCTCTCCTTGAAAAACTGAGTCTGGGCCGACTTGATATGGCACTTTGCTTGGTTGACACTCATTTCTGTACCTCCCGCAGTACAGAACCATCAACAAAATCAACACTGACATTGAGATTATGTCCCACGAAAAAGTGCACAAAACAATTCTATCATGAAAAGCCCCAATGTTCATCAAACCACGCCTTCCCATAACGATTGGTTAATATAAGCGATTTAGGGAAGAGCGAGGGTGGTGGGATCTATTGTCTGACATGATTCTTCGTGTGAGGGTGTCAATACCCTGATTTTCTTGTTTCGTCCAATCAACAACACCAAAAGAATATGAAAGGACGGGTACATCATAAGTATTTGTGGCTTTTACTGTGTTGCGAGCGTTCAGCTCTGAACTCCAGATTTTCTTCAGTCTATTATTATTATTATTATTATCATTATTATTATTATTTTACTACTACTACTACCACTTCTACTACTAATGTTGCTACCACTACCAATGCTATTACAGCTATCCCTCCAGCTACACCACCTATTTCCCCTTACGTCAACTTGTTCTACACTCATCAATCCAAAGCTGGAACGTCTAAAGTATGAGCTGCAATCTGCAAAACACTACGCCAGCTCCCCCAGTGTCCTCCTCCTCTGGTGACGCTGATGTATGTGACCCCGGGGACATTAAACAGCTCCTTTACATGTCCAAATTGCGTTCACATGGTTATGCCCTAAACATGGATGGTGACATCCTTTTTCTGTCAAGAACATCATATTTTCTTGTGGAAAAATGAGACAAATGATAATACTTCAATATTCATCCCATCGTGGACTTCAAAATTGGTTCTGTTGCATCAGAAATCAATATTACGTAGTGTTAAGACCGAAAAGAAAAGACGCGCTCGACAGATATTGTTAGATTGACTATCAGATATTAGATTCTAATACCACAGAAATTACAAGTCGCTGATATGCATTACACTCACTCATGACATATGATTACGAATGATTTGTATTACAGGGAGACGAGGTTTTGTTTGCGTTTGTGTGGAAAGGAGAAAGATGTTATTTCGAAATGTTAAAACCCAGAAGATGAGAGTGGAGATGTTTTGGACGGCAAAGACATTTTAAAGACGTATTTTGCAGGGGTGGGACTTTTTCATGTCCTCGTTATGTCATCTCGGACAGTACAGGACTTAATAACCTGATAGTTTGATATCGGATATACTGTGAGCTGATTAGACATGCTTACTACATAGCGGTTACCAACATCATTGTTAGAGGAACATGCATGTACATGGCTGTACGTGGTTGTACATGGTATATTTCCCTGCGAGGACGAATGTCCCGGCAATGCGGTATCCTTGATTAATGCGGCTGCTCCCAGTTATATTTTGTCCAATTATAAAAAGAACGTGTATAGCGCACAGATGGCGGCAGAGAGTAGATGGGTGGTGAACGCGCTCGGCACGGTCGACTCATGGGAGTTTTAACTGCCTCGGTTCAATTCTCCGCTGATCCACTGGCTATGTCGCTGTAAACAAGTATGGGCTCGGAATTCTTGGAAGCAGGGTATGGGTACACGGTGACAATGAGAATGTAGGAAGTTCAAGCGCCTAAGAGGCAACTGTGGTTGTATACTTCCCAGGGAGCTGTGAATGCTAACTGGAATGCACCACTGATTAGTCGAGCTGGATATCAATGTCATCCGCTTTTGAGAATACCTGGTGGAGCCTTGAGCTTTATAAACGACAATACTTTCAGTATTATTTATGCAAACTCGCCGTCGGAGCGCTGCTAGAAAATGCAAAACATGGCAAAACATCTCACTCCGTCATTGCTTTAGTGATCATTACCATCGGGCCAAAGAACTTGTTCTGTCATTTTCAAATGCATGCAAGAATAAGACACACATATTCCCGTAAAACTGCTTTACTTCAAGAAACATACTCAGTGATAGCGGGTTCGAATCCCAGATTCGACCTGATTTGATCTCTGGTCCAAAAAGTGGAGAACACCTTCCGTCTTCCAATCAGCTGACATTTCGTCATACAAGTATACGGCGTTTTTCAGTTGGGTCACGGTCACTTCCTATATCACCAGGAGGAACTGGGAACCTATTCTGAACCCAAGTGTTCCATTGTATTCCTACATTGCCCCCAGAAACTAATGCTGTTCGTTAGAGGCAATCACACGTAGGGTGTTGACTTCAATGCAGAGCTATTGTACCTATATATTTAACCATCATAGCTGTGCGTTCGGTTTCAAATTTAATTTAGTTCTTTTAAAACTGTTTGTTACTCAGGTCTACATTGTAAACACAGTGTGTTTATCTCCCCAATAAACAAACAAATTATCATTCATTCATGACTATTACCAGATTGTCTGAGCAATATGTAGGTATAAATGACATACCTGACAACCATGTTTTATTGTTTTAGCAAAATTACACCACATGAAGGCGGTCTGTAAATAGTCACGTCTGAACCAGTAAACATCGAGGTACAATGACGTGCAATCAGTCAACACACATTACTTTCCAACCAATCCACATTTCACTCGGGTCTTACATGCACGATGAGCTGAGGTGGAATAGGGTTAACATCTTACATGTACATGGCATATTGGGATATTCACACACACACCCAAACACGTGCATGCACATCGCTATTTATCTTCTACGCGACGTTAAGCCCCACCTCACCAACCCACAGTATACTGACCCACAGCTGAGCATTCTTTATTTTATCCCCTTAATACCGAGCTAATGTTACGTAGTTTGGTATTAGACAGCCAGGGATCAAACCACCTACCTTCCGCTCTCCTGGCGGACACTCCACCACACAACGGAGGCGGCCCAGAGATTAGTTTCAAGAGATTGTATTGATGAAGGTATTGACATGACATTGTGTATCATATTATGGTTCACAACTGCATCATTATTAAATATTGAGAGGAGCCTCCTGAGTCAGATGTTAATCTTCCCTTGATCAATACAAAAAGTTGTGCTTGTTGACATATACTTGACAACCGATTACAATGTTGGTGCAAAAAATCATTAGCTTTACTTTTTTTAAAGGAAATCAATCTATTTTAACGTAAATATTTCGATTTGTGATGTCTGTCTTTCTATAACACTAATGAACCGGTGGTAATTGATTTGTCATTAGCCCCGCTGTCCATGTCCTCTCAAAGGCGAGCGCCTGACAGGGTGCCTAATCAGAAAATGGAAAAACAAACTTCAAATACATATAGAAATAAAAAAAATGCGAAGTCTCTGTTCTTGTACGGTACTTTGATATAATACAATATTCCCACTGAAGAGGTAAAAGCATTGCAGCTGTGAAATATGGATCAACAAAAGTTGGATCACCAAGACTTTGATCACTTTGTCAACATTTCATTCATTATCGGAACTCACTTTGGAAAATACTAACATATGTCAGTCAGCGTATTCACGCGCTGGGGAACTACTCGTTATAACAGAGAATTCAATACATGATCAGAAACACCTCTTTATAGAACACGGAAGTTAATTCCAGATAGATCGCCCTTCAGATCCATTCCTGAAACAGGGCTCCAGAATGAAAGCCTAATATTTAGCCGTCACTCAAATCCAATCTAGAAAAAATAAACAACGTGTGGTCAATGGAGTTTTCAATCTTGCGATTTTCCACCCACTTCTTTATTCAAATCATTGCATTCTCATTCCCGCTGACGACCCGTCCATCGTGCATTTCGGAACTAAAGTAATTGAATTGTCCCCGAATTGAACACTTGGCTTCTTTAGAATTTTAAGATATTGATACCAGGATCCCCCCTTTTGTTGACAGCGACATATGGGAGAAGTCATACACATTTCACTCGACTCGCTTACAAAGAATGCGTTGACAGGTCCGTGATCACTCTCATCAGGAAGACATATTTATGCGCTGCGCAAATGTACATGGAAAAAAACGTACAATATTCTTCTTCGTGTTGTGTGTGAGTTATGATTTGAGTTATTTCGATCAAAGAGAGAACCTTTCTTGTTATATGTTCTTCCAGTGTGATAGCTTGTTGGGCGATTTGTATGCCGGCTTGGTACGAGTTGAAGTATGCGATGCTAGACATGTATGATTAGGGTTGGATGGTGTCATGCTTAGTTTCCACGTGCGCGTGCGTGTGTGTGTGCTCGTGCGTGTGCGCGTGTGAGAGTCATTAATAAACGTATAAGATGCTGGTCCTTTTCAGCTAGTAAGCAAGGTTTCTACGCCGCACTTAACAATATGGACATATTGTACCCAGTGCTTGCGTGCGTGTTTCTGTGTCAATCAGGTGGTTGTTGTGATTTGAAACCTCTAAATGACCAATAATAATCGAGCATTTTTCAAATGTAATGTAGGATCGTTGTTGAACGCCGCACACAGACTAGAAGGCATGTAAATAATCAAGCCTGGAACAGAGACAAACAAGTGATTGACACAATGAGCATCGAGACACACAATTGGGAACCCTCGGGGACTGAACCCATTGTGAATCGAACCCCGGAATTCTGGTGAGCCAATGATTTAACCACAAGACCACGCCAACACGCCAACACCCCTTATGTATTAGACAGTCTTCGCCAAGTCTTTATGATAAATGCAAAAAGACGACGATGTTGTAACTGATAGCTGCATGGTCGATATATGTAGGAATCGTTTTTCCCATATTAATATCAAAGCTTATTACTTATAACTGAATAGTTCAGATTTAATTAAATATGAAACAAACAACCCGTACTATTAGTTGAATGCGCAGAAGTTTGAAACTGGAGACTTAGCGTCAGCTTACCAACAAAATCGTGTGTTTATGCAAATAGCCGTTCTTATATCCCTTTGAAATACATAGCCTTTGGTTGTTTACAGGAAACGTAATTATGAGTGGAGAATTACAAAGCATCATGTGAAGATTAAAGCTGCCTTTTTTTAATAAGGGCTTACTGAATCACATATCTGATGTCTAATAAACGTCATAGGAAGTGTATTTTCAACAGTTAAAGTAAGTCTGAAAACCATTTTGTAATGTGCCTACATATCGGTCACACCACCACCCTCCTCCACCCCTGAGAGAGGATTTTTAATATGTTGGATCCCTCTCCTTTAAAAATGCTGTATCCGCCCTTCAACGTTGATCGGATGGCTGCTGTGGATTGGTGAAAGCGTATCTCTAATATGATCTGGTGGTTTAGGGGGGGACCAGAAACCTATGATTGTGGGTTCGAATCCCGGTTCGCGCCGATTGTGTTTCTAGGTTTGTCAGCACCATACCCGTGCTCGTGGGTTTCACCGAAGTGTTAAACGTCCGAGACCTGCATCACTTCGGACTTTCCCATTAAGCTGACACGCCGTGATATAAAAGCGGCGTTAACCCTACTCACACACTCACTCACCCACTCACTCTTGTAGTTTACTGAAATACTCGTGCTCGTTGGTTTCACAAAAGTAGTAAACGTCTGAGACATGCATCACGTCGGGCTTTCCTCCCATATAAAAGGCACACTATGTTTAAACTGAAATATTGTTCAAAGCGGCGTTTATCCCACTCTCTGAACCAGCTCGTGTTTTGCTTCCCTCCCATCATAAGGTGACGGGCGTGAAATACAGTTCAAGGTGGAAGCCAGGTTCCCTCAAAACAAATACTTGTTTCATGTGTTCATATGATGCTTGGCTTCAACATTCCTCTCTGTTTCATAGTGAAACAGGCGCAACAGTTTGCCCACGGAATGTCTTCGAAATAAACATCAATCGAGATATCCTTACTTGAGACAACGAGAGTTGTTTGCAAATAGCACTTGTTTGCTCAATAAACCGGTGGACCAGTATACATGTGTACATTAACGTTATACCGAATGGGACCCGTGAAGATACGGGGTAGAATAGGTCTTCAGCAACCCATACTTGCCAAAGAGGCGACTAACAGGATCGGATGGTCAGGCTCGATGACTTGGTTGATGCATGTCATCGATCCCAATTGCGTGGATTGATGATCATGATATCAACCACTGGATTATCTGGTCCAGACTCGATTACTTACAGACCGCCGTCACATAGCTGGAATATTGCTGAGTGCGGCGTAAAACAACAAACCAATCAATCAATTATAACGAATGTGACTCTCAACTGCCTTCTCGTAGCCTTACATTCATATTTAACAGCACATATTGGTTGCGTTTATTACAATATCATTATGAACTATAAAAGCATCAAAATGAACACAAATTCAATTATCATTGATCTGTATTTTTACATATTCTGTTCATTCAGTTGAGTATCAAGTGCTAACAAGCCAATTGCCTCCAATGAAACACATGGACACTTGAAGCTCTAGCTATCAAATATGAAGCAAGCTTTTAAAATCTTCTTCATAACTATTTCTCCAGATCCGTAATGTTTGACGTTAATTTGCCTCCTAAGTGCTCG